AAGATATACGAGGAAGAAATAAGGCGTCGCGCGACATTTGCGAACATGGCCGAGTTATCTTTCTGCGATGACCTCATTATAAGCATCCGCTTGATTAAGTATTTTCCATCTCCTTCGAAGCAAATGATTATTACTATATATATGTATAATATTTATAATTCGAAGTTTTAGTGTTTAAATATCAATACGATAAAAAAGTCACGTAGAGCTGACTGTCTGTATATGTTTCCATGAAAGCTGACATAAATATGCACATTCATTATCGTTACACAATTAAAAATTCGCAGTTTTACCGATGTATGTATGTATATATGTATGTACGTGGTGCATATTTATAAAGTATTTTATGTAAACGTGCGAGAAAGAAGTCCGTATTGCCATCTACCAAAAGAATCGCAAACTTACTGTTTCAGTAATTCAGTTATATTATACGAATATAGATTTCAATAGCTTTATATATCGAATTATTTAACATATTTTATTTAGTGCTATCATAGCACTAAATAAAATACACTTATAAACTGTATTTAATCTCATTTATAAAAATTATTTTTATTACGAGTCAAACAAAAAAAAAGATTATGATTAAATATACAAATTTCTTATCATTATAAAAATCATAAATAATTTCTTTAATACAATAGCATACATAATTATGCATTTAAAATGAAGTTTAATAAATGTTGTTTCAAATGTATAATTATTTTTGTTACATATCCTGTATATGCAGACTGTCTTTTCATTTATGCGGAATATAATATTTCACTAAGTGCTTTCTGCACTTCCCATATCATTTTTCTTTACCACATGCAACACGTAGAGAACCCAATTTGGACATGAGCCAGAAATTTTCCATCTCAAAACTCAAAGACACACACGTCTCTTGGAACCAATGCAATTACCATTTGCTGATATTCAGGCAGATCTGTCTGGAAATTTGTAGAGAGTAACGAATCGTTCCACGAAAATTCGCCCCGATGGAGAACGAATTTTCCTCTTTTCTACCTCTCCAATATTTTACCGCAGAATTTATCATCTATTTGATATATGATAACACTATTTGAATTTTTATGGTTTTAAAGCTAAAATTTTTATGGTACTAAAATTTTAAAAGCACAGAGAAAATACATTTAAAGTTAAAAATCTTGTACTTTCAAATTCAAATTTTTAATTTTTGACTATAATTTATTGTGAAATAATATAGGATTAGAAAATATATACATAAATGGCACGCATAAACATATATATATGTATATTATCATATATAGAGCTCAATCTGGTAATCGAAACTTGTAACGATTTATATTTGAATTTAAACTGAGTTTTTTATTATATATTTTTATCAATTTTACTTTTCTTTATTTGTAATTTATTCCTTTAATTGTATGACTATTTAAAAAATGTGTTTGACTCTTACTTTGCCCTTTGTTTATTGTTATTTATATATATATATATATTATATATGTATATATACACATACATATGTATACATATACTGTTATTCTAACAATATATGTAACATAACATAAATATAAGTATTTTTATTTATTTATTTGTATTTTTAAGACAAAATTTTAGGATAATGTAAGTATTCATAATCAAAAATATAAAAAATTAATATACATTATTTAAATTATATATAAATTGTATACTTATTTCGTAGGACAAATTTTATTGTAAAATAACGTCCACACAAAAAATCATATATTTTACTGCAATGTATTCTCTGTATCTGTGTACTTATCACGAGTTAAACGAAAATGCTTTAACTTAAGCAGCTGGGCAAGTATTTTATACGTCTACCATGTATTAACCAAGGGTAGTTCCAGCTAAAGGGCGAATCGGGACCGAAGGGCGCGATCCGTCCGAGGGGTTGATGCGTAAAGGAGGAATATACGGTTTACCAGCTAGCGACGGCAGTATCGATCAGCCGCACACACATGTAATTCAGCGGCGTCTGGATATTCGACGACGATTCCCCCATGATTATCTATCCAGTCTATATTTCCAATCTATATTTAGAAAAGGACTCAACGTCAAGGATATAAATAAAGAATATTTTACTTGCAAATATATATTATATATTTTCCTAAAAAATTTTAAATTCCTTAAAAATATACTTTTATCACAGATAAAACAAAAAAAAAAAAGATTTAAAAAACAAACTTTTTAAGATATTTAAGTTTCTGTTGCAGAATAGCATTGCATTTAATATTCCTATAAAAGTAAAATTCCCATAAAATACTATATTTTTTTGCATTAGTATTGCGTAATATGTAACGTATATTTAGAGTTAAATAACAAGTATGACACAGTTATTATCAAACAAACTTATCTGTATTAAAAGAGAGATACAACAAATTCAATTCAATAAATTTTTTCTTAATATCTTATCAAAAAATATTTCAAGATTATTATATGGATAATTATTATCAAGATAATTATTATCAAGTGCATTAATTTAAAATTACATTTAATACAGTTTATATAAAAATGTATACTTAAATTTATTGTGCAAATTTGAAAACTGTGAATTTTTATTATTCATGTTTTTCTTTTATTTTCAAGTTGAATACATTTTATTTTTCAGAGTTAAAAACAAAGTTGTTTTATACGTGACAATATCTCTTGCAATGGTGTTAACCAGCTTTTATTTATTTATAATATTTAGATAAATAAGCATCTTCATGCTCTCTCTCTTATCTATTTAAATATATTATAAATAAATGAAAAAATAATTAAACCGCTAATTTATTCCTTGATTATCTTAATCGACAGTTAATCACTTTATGAGTATGTCGAAAAATTGACTACTCTACTCAAAACAATCTATGAAATATTCTATTTATTCTTGCAATAATGTATAATAAATTACAACGTACGAATGTATATAAATCATATAAAAAATACTATTCTGATTTTTTTTTTAAAACAGAGTCTAGGTGCCAATACTATTAATGCAAGTTTAAATATTAATGCAAACGAATATCGGCGGAAAATATTAATTTGACGGACAAAATATGTCCTTCATGCCCCTCTTAGATGGAGGTAATTTTATTAATAAACGGTTGTCTATCATCCGTAACAGTTTAACATGTATATGTGTATTGTTGAAAGATCATACGTGAATAACAGTCTATGTTTGCTATTATATTGCACGTTCGAAAAATAAGAACATATTGCAAACAAATAGGAGTAGAAAAAGACTAGGAAACGGCAGGGGAGTAAATCGCAATAAAAAACGAAAAATATCCAAGTTGCTGAGCTGCAATCTGCATGGATTATTGGGTTCAAAAAGCTTAATGCACAAAGGCCGCTTAAGGCTACTGGTTGAAGAAAAAGCGAATGTCAGAAAAAAGAAAAAAAATACATCTCTAAATAAAAAGATGTGCAACTTTTGAATATCGAGTGTAATTTTGAAAATAATAAAAGCGTGAGGTTGATCGCCGGAAACGTTTTTTTTTATTTGCTATTTTAGTTATCGATTCATTTATGTAAAGCAACGGATGTCGCTCGATAAAAGAGATTAACGAGCAGCGATCCTTGGTGTACATTCAGAAACATCTTTTATCATTTCTGTCTGCTTCGAGACATTCAATCATGACAGCGCTTTGTATAAATTGCATAGTAATGCATGCTTCGTGCATTTATATTGTTAGACACGCTCCATACGTTATAGATACTTGAAATTAAAACGTTTAGAGAACTGAGAGAAGAAAACTTAAAATGTAATATTTTTTAGTATATATTAAAAAACTAATATATATATATATGAAATATATTAATTTTTAATTAATATAAAAATACAACTAATACATTTAAAAAATGGGATTTTTCTGGATAATAATAATATTTTTTTATGTTTTTTTTATCATATCTCTCTCTTTAAATAATATAATAATTTTAAATTTTAAATATTATATCGCAAGAAATATCAAAACATTATTATTTCTTATTATTCACTCAAATTAAACATGATTAAAATATTTTTATATATTGAAAAAAAATTCGGAGTCCACACAAATTGTTTCATCTTGACCATCATATTTTTTCTTGTTTCAAGCACATTATCATCTATTTTCGGTGTGATCGCGCTTCAAATGGGTTGGGCACTTCTCTTGGGACTTGCAATTCCCAAATGTAATTTCTTGTCTTTCAGAAAATAAAAATGACATTCTAAATGTACACGAGAAGTGCAGACTCTTTTTAAATAATGATTTAAAAAAAATATAAAAATGCTAGTAAAGTCTGATTAATATTTGTTCATTTTTCAATTATATTTTTTTCAAATATTATTTCTTCTTGTTGACATTTAAAAAATTTAATGTAATATAAAAGACAATCTAATTAAAGATTATTTAAATTCTTTTTAAAATTTTCTTTAAAATTTTTTAACATTAAAGTTTCTTGTGTAATATCACATTTTATTTTTGTTGGAACGACTACCATTCATAATACATTGCATTATAGATCATATTTATTTGCAATATTATCATATTATTTGCAATTTCTTCTATGAATAATGTAATTTTGACAAGGCATTCTTTATTGTTACAGTAAATATTTTTAATGTCTAAAAGGATTAGATTATAGAATCTCAGGAGGATTAACACGTTAATCTTATCTTTATTCTTTTCTTAAAAGTGAGAGAAAGAAAATAATCTTACTTACTTTACAAGTTATTACTCTGTGCCACATCTCAATATACTTCGAAACTTTGAAGAATATGTTTTGATATTAAAAAATATAATATACTAAAAAAATATATATAGACGTATTGAGAAACAACAAAAGTTTTATTTTTATCTTTTCTATAACTGTAAATATACAGAGTACTCACAATCCCACATATTTTATAAAGGGTTTTTTGCAAGAATTATTTTAAAAAATATTTCTGTCATTTATTATTTAGGATATAATTATTAATAAATTGTTAACTTTAAATATTTATTAAATCTTATTAAATTTGTAAATATCCAATAATTCCGCTTTGATATTTTAGTTGAGTTATCTAAACAGATTAAAAGAATTAATTAATTAATTAATCACCTTCTTAAATAAGGTATATTGAAAAATCGAATATATCATTGATTATTTTTATTGTGTAAGATATAACAAAAATTAATTAAAAATAACAAATGCACAAATGATTTTAGAACTTGAATTAAAGTTTGGAAAAATCAATTCTATGATATATTTATATTATTATAATTATTTCAAATACATTTTTATATTAAATAATAACGTAATTTAAATACTTACATTTTTTTCCATTTTTCAATAATAATTATTTTGTTTTTCTATGATCCATTTTTCGCTTCAGTGATGATTACCATGATTATCGTCTTCTTCCAGTTCTTGTTTGTAAGCAGAAAAATATGCTATGCACCAAATGCAGAAGAATACAAATAGCAGCAACCAGGATATAGAATTGAATTTATTCCATCCGAAAATAATCTGACGGACTGATAGAAATTGATTGTTATTGGATTTCGAGCAACAAATTGTTGCGTTACTCTGGTTGTCCGCCATAATGTCAAACGCTCTTAAGTTATTCGACGAGTGGCAAAATATTTGACAAGTATTCAGTGACTTACGCATTGACTTACGTCTGCTTGTCTGATAAACTACTACCATTATCAAAATCAATGAATGTGCCTTTAATAAATTAGATTAGATTAGATACTGTTTCGAAACAACCGTCAATTATCTGAGAATATAAAAAGAAATGATTAAAGTACTAAGAATTAATAAGTAAAGGAATTAATCCGGGACTTGTTTGTATCTGGATATATATAATTAATTTTTAACAAAATTTGCTAAAAAAAAATTTATTAAATTTGAATAAATATTTCTTTGATTAGTCTTAGCGGAATATTTACTGACCGTAAATAAATTTAGAGATATAAAAAAATGATAGTTGGATCAAACTAATGGTTTTTGTATCTAATAAATATGTGTTTATATTTAGTAAATATTCCGTTAAAACTGTTTAAAGAAATTGAATTTGTTAAAATTTAGTAAATTTTTTTTCTTAGTATACTTATGCACAAATATAATAGAATATTATATATATACTATTAACTGATTATTTTAATAGAATAAATAGTTATTTAGTAGAATAATAGTTATTTAGTAGAATAATTAGTTATTAAAGCATCTTACATATGATTGAAAAATTATCAACTTTAATGTTTAAAAAATGTATTTACGCACAACAATCTGTATTGTTATTATTAGCTTTTCCCCATTGGAACAACCAATATCCAAAAGCTGTTCCAGCTCCGACAGCGATGCAGAGCCAATAGTTGTATGTCATAAAAACAAACATAAGGAAATAGCCAAGCACTATTTGGATTACGTGCAGAAGCGTCTGAAAGAAATGCACTCCGGAAAACAATAATGCACTGTAATAATAAACAGCGTAATAATATATTGTGAGCACTTTTATTAATTATAATTACTGTTCACACATACTTTCTTGATTTCTTCTGCTGATTCTTCCTGAGAAACGTCGTACGCGCGAAGAGATACTCACTGAAACGTACGGTTATAGCTCGATTGATAGCTCGCATTTTTTTTTTCATGTTTTATTAAATATTTACTCACCGATAAGATTTTAGTCCTTCATACAATGCAGTTAGAAGAATGACGCCAATTACAGAACCAATCATTCCTTGAGCGTTATTTATGCGCCATTTTTCAAATAGAATAGTTTCCGTGACGCCGCCATGAAATGACATCTGTAAAAGTGTTTGACTGTTGTAATTACATTAATATTATATATATTTAGAAAAGGACATGATAAAAATCTCAAGCTACGTCATCAACACTTACCTGCATCTTGTCTTAAGATATTACTACCAGATACTCTCGTAAAAGACACGAGCTTTATGATATTGTCGCGCGAATAAGTTTTTAGACTGTTATACAGCTATATCTTTATCAAAGATATCTTATCTACTTACGTGAGAAGTTTCAGGAATCAGAAGAACCTATTTGATATAACGGATATTTTAGCATTTTATTTATTTCTTACTTAAATTTTAAATTAAATTATTTCAAATATCCATTATTAAATTTTAAAACAGTTCATA